TTCTGGCCCAACTCTTTTGCTTCGGGGGCTTCTTTTGGTCCAAAAACAATCATAGAATTTCAGGTCAATTGGACTCAGTTTGATATTCCTTTTCTACGAAACTCAAAAACAAGGAAAAAAAACAGAAACTGGCACTGGGCTCTAGGTTAATAGGTTAGTCCCAAAAATCATATAAAATAGCATATAAATGCATATAAAACATCCAAGATGGATAATATAATAGCATGGAACAATCAAAAATTATAGATACGTTGGAGACGTATCAGAGTTGTCATTTGATAACGGGATCACATCATTAGGAGAATGATGTGATGGACAAGACCCAACCGTTATCATAGCATATGATCGTTTAGTTTATTGCTCCTACTTTCTTAATGTCTAATACATGTTTCTTCGACCATGGGATCGTGCAACTCCCGGACTCCGGAGGAATGCCGTGTGTGCCATCAAACGTCACAACCTAACTGGGTGATCATAAAGGTTCTCTACAGGTACTCCCTCCGTTTTCTTTTTAGTTCGCTTATAAGATTTGGTCAAAGTCAAACTATGTAAAGTTTGACTAGATTTGTAGGAGAAAATATCAATATTCATACTATGAAATCAATATTATTATATGCATGATGAAATTAATTTTCATAATATATAACTTTAGTATTGTAGATGTTGATATTTTTTCTAAAAAGTTGGCCATACTTTACAACGCTTGACTTTGACCAAATCTTATATGCAGACTAAAAAGAAATGGAGGGAGTATCTCCGAAGGTGTCTGTTGAGTTGGCATGGATCGAGACTGGGATTTGTAACTCCATATGACGGAGAGGTATCTCTCGGCCCTCTTGGTAATACAACATCACAAGAAGCTTGCAAGCAAAGTGACTAAGGATTTAGTTACGGGATGATGTATTACAGAACGAGTAAAGAGACTTGCCGGTAACAAGATTGAACTAGGTATGGAGATACTGACGACCGAATCTCGGGCAAGTAATATATAGACGAACAAAGGGGACTATGTATGTTGTCATAAAGGTCCGGCCGATAAAGATCTTCATAGAATATGTAGGAACCAATATGGGCATCCAGGTCCCGCTATTGGTTATTGACCGGAGAAGCGTCTCGGTCATGTCTACATCATTCTTGAACCCGTAGGGTCCGCACGCTTAACGTTCGTTGATGATATAGTATTATATGAGTTATGTATGTTGGTGACCGAATGGTGTTCGAAGTCCCGGATGAGATCACCGACATGATGAGGAGCCCCGGAATGGTCTGGAGGTAAAGATTGATAGGATGATATGGTTGGGCCAATGGGTAAGGCCCACGAGGCCTTAAGACAATGCACAAAGGGGTTTTCTCGGAGGGCAGGGGCTAGACACCAAGGTTCCTAGCGTCTAGCCCTGGGCCAGACGTTGTAGTCCGTGGCGTTTACATTAACGCCAGGAACCATGGCGTTTGGCCCTGGAGTCCGAGAAGGACTCTTCTTTGGATTCCAAATCGACTTTGGGGAGGCCCTCTCCCCAAGAAATGACCCTATGGCTCAACATACGGATCATGAATGTGTACAACTACATCAACCACGTTGATAAACGCTTCCGCCTAGCAATCTTCAAGGGTATGAAGATGCGCTCCCCGTCTCATAGATATGAATCTTTATGGATAGTTCTTGCTAGTGCGTAAAAAAATATTATTTTCCATGCAACGTTTCCCTACAGACTACTACTACCCCTAGGATGCCTACTACTACGTGGAGGCCGCCGATGACCAGGAGTAGATAGGAGGCTCCCAAGCAGTAAGCCTTGCCTTTTCGAACATCGTAGATGTTTGTGCTAGCCTTCTTAAGGCAAACTTGTTTAACTTATTTCTGTACTCAGATATTGTTGCTTCCGCTGACTCATTTGTATTCGAGATTATGTATTCGAGCCCTCGAGGCCCCTGGCTTGTAATGTAAAAGCTTGTATGACTTTAATTTGTGTCTAGAGTTGTGTTGTGATATCTTCTCGTGAGTCCCTGATCTTGATCGTACACATTTGTATGTATGATTAGTGTACGATTGAATCAGGGACGTCACAACGGACAAACTTTGATTTGCATTAATGGTGAACCAGGCCCATGTTTTTCCAGCAAGCGAGGTCTTAGGCAAGGGGACCCAATCTCCCCCTTGCTCTTTGACATCATAGCCGATTCCCTTTCTTCCATGATTTCCAAAGCCAAGGAGGCTGGCCACCTTAAAGGTGTCATTTCTTACCTCATCTCGGGCGGAGTTGCGCACTTACAATATGTCGGTGACACCCTGCTCTTGTTTGAGCATGATCCTATTAGTATTGCAACTCTCACGATCCTTCTCATATGCTTTGAAGCCATGTCAGGGCTCAAAATTAAGTACGCCAAGAGCGAATTGCGTCCTAGGGATGGATGCGCAATGGAAGGCCAACACATCGCTAGCCTTCTCAATTACCAGAGGTCTGAGTTATCGATTGTGTACCTAGGTTTATCCTACTCCAACTAATCTCTACAAGCTTCAGATTGGGATATGATGGTACATTGGTACTCAAAGTTGTTGAGCGTGTAGATCTGTGGCGGGAAGACTCATGTCCTCGGGCGCCACGCTCACGCTTACAAATGTGTGCCGTTCTGCTATCCCAACCTTTGATATGGTTTGTTCATCTTGGGCGATGGAGTTCACGCGTAGTTCGATAGAGTTTGTTCTAGATTCTTCTAGGAAGCGGGTGACACCAAGCGGAAAATATCACATGGTTCGTTGAGAAGAACTATGTAAACATAAAACCCAAGGGGGGCTTGGGATTACCAAATCCAAAAATATGAGTCCTTCTTTAATTTCGAAATGGATTTGGAAAATTTCTCAACGCGACCATAGCTTGTGGGCTAGGCTTCTTAAAGCTAAATATTTCTCCAACTCTTCAATTTTTGCTTCCTCTTCCAAAGGGTCGCAATTCTAGAATGGGATCCAATCCTACAAATATATCTTCAACAGTGGGCTAACTTTACGGCAGGGATGGGGCCGTTACCAAATTTTCGACGTGCAAGTGGATGGATTTTAGATGTTCTCTTGTTCGTCAAGTTTCCTAAACTATTTGCAATTGCTCCCGACCCTGTTATCTTAGTTAAAGACGTTTGTGTGGATGAAACCACTAACATTTCATTCTTCTATAACCTTTCTATCCTCGAATCTGACTCCTGGAAAGTTTTATAGAATATCACTAATCAGACCCAGCTCCCCAGTTCAAAAGACATGATATCTTAGGACTTGGAACCTTCGGGGAGCTTCTAAGTCATATCCATGTACTCCAAGCTATTTCATGGTCCTAGGCTAGGATTTTTTTAAAGGATCTTTGAGCAACGTGCCTATCTCAAGCTTCTAAAGATCGCCTCCCTACTGCAATGAATCTTCATAGACGCAACAACCTCAGTAACGGTATGTGTGCTCTGTGCGGCACCCCTGAGAACGTAGATCACTTGCTCTTTCAATGTGCTCCAACTTTGTTCCTCTGGAGCTATGTGCGCCAATGTTTTCGCGTTGATTGGCGCCCTAATTTGATGCAAGATCTGTTAGGCTTGCTTCAGAACGCCTGAGGCCAATCATGGAGATTAGCATAGCGTATTTTTGGTGCATTGGTATAGGCTGAACCGTTCAAAACGAACATGTCATCGAGGGGATTTTACCCTCCCATCCTGCTAACTGTATTTTGAAATGGCTTTTATTTTTGTAACAATGTAGACCTATAGGAAAGAAGAAGGACTGTGAGTATGCTGACGTTGTGTTGTCCAAACTTAGGGCCATCCACGCCACCAACCGCCATCAAGTCGCTGCCCGAGCCCGCGATTTTGATGTAGCCCTACCGTTTCATTACATGAACATAATCTGCTTCTAGCATCGGACTATATTGTGTGCGATGTTATTTGTGTTGATTCTGTATTTGACTCCTATGTCGTTTCTACCTTTATTAAGTCAACAAAGCCGAGCGTCCCTAGCGTCTTTTCTTCACAAAAATAACCAAACACAAATGGGTATGAAATCTCGTTCATGTGTTTTGCTCAGCGGTGATAGATAACAACGGCGTGATGCGTCGTGCTACCAATCGACATGATACCTCCTCCGGTCCTTTTTACTCTGCATGTAAGAATTATCTGAAGTCAAACTTCACAAATTTTGACCATATTTATATGAAAAAATATCAATATCTACCATGCTAAAGTTATACAATATGAAAGTTTAAATCATGACACACCTACTGATATTAATTTCTTATTATGAATGTTGGTATTATTTTCTCTAAAGTTGATCAAATTTTACGAGGCTTAATTTTAGACAAATCTTATATACGGAGTAAAAAGAGGACCGGAGGGAGTAAAGTAAGGGCATCTCCAACAGTTGTAAGATATATGTTGGTAAATTTGCCACCTAGGACATAATGATGATGTGGCATATATTAAATGTGAAGAGAGAGCAAAATTGTATGTAGATTAACCAACAACCTTTGCACAAGCTGCAAAATAAAATAGAGAGCAATCACATTTATTTTTTCATCATCTATTGGATAGCTTACATACAACTCATTACAGTAGTTGTATGATAGCTTATTTGTTGATGGCATGGACATTTTACTAACAAAACTAACATATAACCTGTGGAGATGCCCTAAACCTAAACTTGACTTGTCAATCGCACCGCAAATCAGCTCGGCGCCTTCTCACTCACTCCAACCACTCCTTGATGTAGGCCGTATTAGTTGTTTTCCCCATCTGTTCGCTCATATCCGCGCGCAGCCACATTTCTTTTTATCAAATCAGTTCACCCAGGTGGACGAATGAATTTCCTTCTCATCTTGGATGTCGTTTGACCAAGTTTGCCCAATCCGGGTCCCGCCTCTACAACTGGATGGTGCCAGTCGAGAAAGATTAGACAAAACAGGGCTCGTGACGACTAGTTGATCGGGACCAGTCAAACCCAAACCACCAACCGCCCCTTCCCTTCACGCATCTCCATGGGGTCCGAAGCCGGCGGCGGCGCCGCCGCGATTGACCTGCTCCGCTCGGCGGCGCCCTTCCTGCCGGACGCCGACCTTCTCCTGACGCCCGGCACGGGGCTCGTCCTCGTCGACCTCGTTAACGGCTTCTGCACCGTCGGCGCCGGGAACCTCGTGAGTTCTGCTCCCCCTCCTCTGCTCCGTTTTTGAGTATATTATCAAGTGAAGAGCCTTCGCGCGAGGTTGATCGACTCTTGCGGGATCTCGGTGGTCCGGTGGGGTGGATGCATGCCACCATGCCGAAAGAGTTGGAGTTTTGCTGCTTGCTCTACGATGGAGACGCGAGTGAATGGGCCAGATACCCTCTCGCAGCTTTCTCCTACCTCGCTTCTTGGCTCTTTTGTTCTTTTCTTGTCACGCACTTCTCGCTCTTCCTCTCTTTTTTCTCTTTCCGGCCCATCTTGAATCTCCACTTTCCCTTTTCTTCCTCCCATGAATTAATATCAATCTGCATGAAGTATTATTACTCGTTTTACTTATAAGAAAGATGGCGTTTGCAGGCCCCTGTCACCCCAAATAAGCAGATCGAGAAGATGGTGGAGGAGTCTACCAGGCTTGCCAAGGTGTTCTGCCAGAGGAACTGGCCGGTCTTTGCGTTCCTTGATACCCACCATCCCGATAGGCCCGAGCCGCCTTTCCCGCCGCACTGCATCATCGGCTCCGGTGAAGAAAACTTTGTTCCAGGTTAAACACCAGCTCCACATTTTTTGTATTATTACTTATTACCTTAAGCCTTTCGTAGAGCATGTTCAGTTTCTATGAACTGATTCTTTCATGTTGAATTGGGATGCTAAATCGATGGTTTTGGCAACCTGATAAGATATGGGAGAATGACAGCAGAATACGTTCCATATCTGGATTCTGACGAAGTTCAATCTGCCATATGCAGCTCTGGAGTGGCTGGAGAATGATCCAAATGTGACAATGAGGCGCAAGGACTGCATTGATGGTTATCTTGCTTCATTTGAGAAGGACGGGTCCAATGTTTTCAGCGAGTGGGTCGCAAAGTTCCAGATCAAAACCGTAAGAGATCCTTCCTATTTAAATGTTCGGTGGAAAAAAGTGTGATCCCCATTTATAAATGATTCATGAATTTGCTTGATGCAGGTTTTGGTTGTAGGAATATGCACTGACTTCTGTGTTTTGGACTTTGTGAGTTCTACTCTGGCTGCAAGAAACATTGGCCGAGTGCCCCCGTTGGAAGATGTTGTGATCTATTCCGAGGGATGTGCGACATTTGACCTCCCTGTCGAAGTAGCCAGGAGTATCAAGGGAGCTTTGGCCCATCCACAGGTACTCAGCCACTAAACTCTACTATGCATGGTCAGTGAGAGTGTAGACTTCAGAAAGAGAGTAGATAGCTTTTGTATTCTGGAGCATGTAATTTTAGCTAGTATTAGGTTTTGTAAAACAGAGGACATTGAAGGAGTTCCCAGCATCCAGAGTTTATATACCATACCAAAATCCCATGCCATGTGATCCGGAGTTTCCATAGCTATATAGAACATCAACAAAGAGGAAAATTGTGTTCTGCCTAAAAAAAGTGCACTAGTTTTACATGGAAAATGCACTGTCGTGTTGGCTGCGAAGTTCCTAGCATCCAGAGTCTATACCGTGCTAAAAACATAGGCCATATGATCCGGAGTTTATAGCAATAGAACAAAGAGAGAATTATGTTCTGCCTAAAAGAAAGTGCAGTAGTTTTACACGAAAATGCATTGTTGGCTGTGAAGTATCTACGCGTAGAGTTCAGCTGCTTTCTCTTGATCTGAAAGTCACTGCATAGGCACAACGGTAGCAAATTTGCTTTGATATCTTGTGCGTTCCCTTGCTCATTAAAAGAAAGAAACATGGACTTATAGCTAACCTTTCATAATGATGCAGGATCTTATGCATCACATGGGACTTTACATGGCCAAATCAAGGGGTGCGAAGATAGTTGACGGAATTCTCGAAGAATAAGGCTAGATCATTCATCAGGTCTGATAGTCTTGCTGGAAGGACCGTGCTATAGTTCTATGTAGTCCTCCTGTTTATCCACTCTATGTAGAATAATCAGATGGTGTATCTGCCGCCTGTGCACTGACACTGTTCCACTGTATGTGCCATGCATGGTTATCTGTAATTATCCAAGGAGTGATGTTAACAAGCATTTACTTTACAGTACGCAGAATAGATACCATTTCCAATATATGTTTTGGTGCCGCGTAGTACGTATATATTCTGGGTTCCAAGGTTGCCCATCATAGAATATGAACCAAAACCGCTGATGAGATTGCTTGGAAAGACGTGGATTGGACCGGGTAGTCTCCCCGTCAGACCTCGCGATGTGTGTTGCCTAGTGCCACCATATCCATGGGTCAAGATGGGAATGGGCCGACCCGGCCCTGGCCTTGGACCCGGCCCTAGTGGCCTCAGGGCCAATATAAGAGGCCACGGGCTGACCCGCCCGATGGGTATTTCGGGTCGACCCAATTATTAGTGACGTATGTTGCTTTTTCTTGTGATGTGCTGATAGCTAAAATCCTAATAGAGTAGTACGGAATCTAGGAATGAAAGAAAAAAAATACGGAGATCCAAGTGGTCTAGCTGCTGCATCCGTGCATTATACATTCATACATTCGTAGACCATAGTAAGCTCGTGTGTTTCTTTCTGGACATTGTACAGACATGCAACATCCGTGTGGCCGTGTGGGTGTGTCTAGCCATCGGATGCCGCTAGTACTACTAGTTGACGTCAGACCCGACGCTCTACCGACAAGTCTCAAATGTGCACTAGGAGCTGGACGGCGCATGGGAGACGAGCGGACGGTGAGCCGGATGACGAGCTAGGCGTGACTGGGACGGCGAGCCGGATGACGAGCTAGGCGTGACTGGGACGGTGAGCGTGAGGCAGCACCACCGGCACGGCAGAGATCGGCGAGGGCGACAATTAGAACATAGCTGTCGTGAGATACGAGACCACGAGGTGGGCCGATCCCGCTGACCCAGCAGGTCACTTGGTGCCGGCTCTACTGACCCAATTTATTTATTTTTGAGGCCAACCCATGTGACCCATCGGCCCCGAATATTTGGGCCGGGTCAGCGACCCAGCGGGTCGACCCGGCCCATTCCCATCTTGATCCATGGGGGCAGGGCGTATGCTGTCCGCTGCCGAGCAACCTGCTGACGGAAAAAAGGGCCACATGGTCTGTAAGTTCACAAATTGCAGTTCTTCAAACAGGATCCTTTAGCTCCGCCATAGGAGCAAAGCAAACGCCACACCGCACAAACGCTTTATCATTGCAATCCACCAAGGATTCATAAACAAAATCACTGGAGCAAACAAGCGTGCATTTGATCTTGCTATACCTATATTGCTGCTCCTGCCACAGGGAAATCTTTTGTGTTCAACTATTTTCTAATTAGACAGCAATTAAAAAAACTGACAAGACCGGCGAACATAAATAAATGTACTCAATACAGGTCAATATTATTACAGTTTTTACAACAGTTGTACAACACTACAACAGGTCAGTCCATGCATCGGCAAACACCCGTCAATACCCCTCTCAAACAAGACAAGAGGGCTGGGTGCTAAGTTATATACAAACGAGCCATGATATTTGAGTGAGGCTGCTGGGGCATCGTCGGTTAACAGACAACCAGGACACAAAAATTCTACCTCTTTAGCTTTTGCTGCGCTTCCAATGCAGCAGAGTCTTCTATTTCCACCCTCTCGTTTTTTCCTGCCCTAGAGGCCAGTAACTTCATGCGCCATGTGCCTCTAGGCATTCACGGGACAGGGTGTTACAATCCAATCGAATCCATATGTCCAATGCTTGACAAGATCTAACGGTGCTGCTGATGGTCACAAACCTGGCAGCTCCTAGCAGACCTAGGGTTTGCAAACGTGCACTGATCACAGGCCCAGATGTTCCCATCATCCATACCACGGGTTGAGCTGCCTGACTTCGAGGCACCAACAGGTGCCTTGTTCTTGCCACTCTTGCTCTTACCGCCAAGGTTCTTGGAGCTTACGGCCTTGCTACATGCACCTTGGCCGCTATGAGCTCCAACATCATTCAATCCAGACTCCAATGCACGGACCAGGTTTTCGAAATAATTGCGAGTTACGCTGTTAAATAGACAAAGAATTGTTGAGCAGAGATGAGTAAAAGAAGTGTATAGCAATGACATGAAAAGTACTGAATTATGGATAACAAAAGCACAAGCTGCAAGAATTTTGGCAGTTATACATACGGAGAAAGACCACCACATAATTACACCGTGGAAACCAGTATCTTTACATGATTGTGGGAAACGCTATTCTAATGTCCATATTAAGGATGATGACACCAGTTCGACAGAAACAACACTGACCAGAACAAATACACTAAGATTTTCATTACCTGGTCAATCCAGCCAACTTTGTACGGAAGTCATTAAAATCTTTAGATGGGCAGTCTGCATCGAGATAGATCTGAAGTTCTTTCTCCGCACACTGATGAAGGCGTTCCAAACCAGATTCTGCTTCACCTGAATAAGCAATAGCAAAAGGATACCCTTTAGTGATAGATACTTCGAATGGAATCTACAGTATGAAAAATACGAACCTTGAACGTATTCGAAGAACTGCCTTTTGGCATGTTCATGGTCTGGAAGGTAATAACCATATGCGTAAGTCCACTTCAATACCCGCCTACATTCAACAATCTGCAAAATGAGACCATACAGCCTGAGTGAGATGCTCAGAAAACTGAACAAAAGTACAGGCGACACTTGCTGACTAGAGTGTCATTCATACCTGTAACCATGCTTCAATTATGAACTTAAGCTGTGACTCAGGTTGGCTTTGTATGTCACTTAGCTTTTCAAGCTGTAAGGTTTACCAAACAAAATAACAGTCATTAGGTGTTGGAGAATTTTAGCATTAAATTGTGAATCCTTCTAATGACACTGCCCTGAATGACATTGCTCTGATTAAAAAGATGATGCAACCTGTAATATCAATGATGTTACAGGTATGAATGTCAGCTACCTTATCATTCTGCAGACTCTGCAGATCCCCAAGCGCCTTTTGCCTTGACTACATCATAACAAAAATAGTGCGTAAATATTGTATGTTACATGCAAAATAAGAGTTGCTAGTAGTACATTAACTATTTAATCAATCAAAATGAAAAAAACGAAGCAACAAAAAAAATATTTAGATCTTTATGTTCCTTAGCTTGGCCTACTGAAAGTTAGGCTCTTTCCAATGGCAAGGAGTGGCTGCGGAAGAAACTTTAAATTGCATTGTCTTGGTTTGGCTTCCCACGATCACAGTATCACCCGGCTGCGGTCCCGTGTTATTCATCTTCATGATGGCGATGCTAATACCTCTTTCTTCCACCAACATTCCAGATATTGTAAGAAGAAGAATTTTATAGCCAAGTTGAAGGTTGGTGATCAGGTCGTTACAAACCAAGGGGATAAACATGAGGCTGTGCTGAATTACTATGAAAACCTCATTGGTTCGTCTCAGGTTCGGGATTTTTCCTTGGACCTCTCAGTTTTTCACTTCCAGCAGCATGATTTGGTTTCTTTGGAGGAGCCTTTTTCGGAGGATGAAGTGTGGGCAACCATCAAAGACTTGCCGTTTGATAAAGCACCTGGACCTGACGGGCTTGCTGGTTGTTTTATAAGTCATGTTGGGAAATTATCAGAGTGGACCTGCTGCTAGCTCTCTCAGCTGATCATCATGGTCATGTGTCCAAACTCAGACTTCTCAACTCTGCTCATCTCCCTTCTGCCGAAGAAGGTCAGTGCCATCCAGGTCAGACTTCTCAACTCTGCTCATCTCCCTTCTGCCGAAGAAGGTCAGTGCCATCCAGGTGAGACTTCTGGCCCATAAGCCTTATCCACAGTTTTGCCAAACTGGTTGCTAAGCTCATGGCCAATCGCCTTGCACCCATGCTGCCTGATTTGGTGCCTGTAAACCAATCTGCTTTTGTCAAGGGAAGGAGAATTCATGACAATTTTCTCCTTGTTCAACAAATGGCAAAATGTTTGCACCAACGAAAGGAGCCTCACATTTTACTCAAACTGGATATATAGAAAGCCTTTTGATTCCGTATCTTGGCCTTTCCTCATTGAGGTTTTAAAGCATTTAGGTTTTGGTCAACGTTGGTGCAATTCCACATGTTTGCTGTTCTCCACATCTTCCCTTAGTTCCTAGTCAATGGTGGGCCGGATGAGCACATCTTCCATCGTCGTGGCCTCCATCAAGGTGACCCCCTATCCCCTATGTTATTTATCCTTGTGATGGATGTCTTGAACTCTTGTGAACTGGGCTGCTCATGTGGGTTTGCTGCAACCAGTTTCTATGCTGATGATGTAGTGATGTTTCTCCAGCCTGCTGCAAATGACCTCACTAACATCAGGCAACTTCTGGACATTTTTGGCCATGCCTCAGGTCTTGTGACCAATATGTCCAAGAGCTCGTTACCCCAATTCAGTGCAAGGATGAAGATATGGAGGTCGTATCCAGCAGTTTATCTTGTGATATTAAGCACTTCCCTTGCACCTATTTGGGTCTCCCACTCACGGTCAAGAAGCCTTCCGAGGCAGACCCCCACCCTCTTGTTGATAAGGTTGCTAACAATCTCCCTGGACGAAAGGCATCACCCATGAATCGTACTAGTCGGTTTGTTGTGACGGTATGAGTTGTACTTTCTACCATTCCTATTTATCTCATGATTGCGTTGGGCCTTTCCAAATGGGTTATCAAGGCCATTGATAAGTGTTGTAGGGGGTTTCTTTGGAAGTGCCAGGAAAAGGCTAATGGGGGCAACTGCCTTGATTCCCGGGAGCGAGTCCAGCGACCAACCCAATAGGGTGGTCTTAGTATTCCTAACCTTCAACATTGGGGTGGGCGCTCCGCATGCGATGGTTATGGCTGCAGAAAACTGGCGCAGATCACCCATGGTCTGGTTTGCCCGTCCTCGTTCCTCGAAATGCTCTGGCTTTGTTCTGTGTCGCTGTTGAGTCAATTGTTGGAATGGGCAGACCACTTTGTTCTTGTCTGATCGATGGCTTCAGGAGATCTCCACACCTTTTCAAGCTGATCTCCAAAAGAGCGGTCAAGCAGCACACTGTGGCTCAAGCTCTAACGGAGCGGAGATGGGTCGCAGACATCAAGGGCGCCCTTACTGTCCAAGTGCTAACTGAATACCTTCAGTTTTGGGATTAAGTGGAGGGACTGCACCTTCAACAGGATGTTCCTGATCAGCACCGTTGGCGGTTTACGCCATCGGGATTGTACTCATGCAAATCAGCATACGAGGCTTTCTTTATTGGTGCGGTCAGATTCGCCCCTTGGAAGAGAATCCGGTGGACCTGAGCTCCTTTGCACTTAAGCTATTTATTTGGCTTGCCATCAATAATCGGTGCTGGACAGTAGACCGCCTGGACAAAAGGGGGTTGCCGCACCCGGCTGCATGCCCCTTGTGCGATCAAGTTGAGGAGTCAATTCAGCACATCCTTGTATCGTGCGTCTTTTCCAGGCAGGTCTGGTCTCATATTCTCCGAAGATTAGGCGTAATTGCTATTGCTCCGCAACCCACCACTGGCCGGTTCTCAAGCTGCTGAGGTCAAGCTCTCATTCAAGTTTCCAAAGAACTCTTGAAAGAGCTTACCTCCTCATTGTCTTGGTGGCGTGGGAAATATGGAAGCATCGGAACGATTGCGTTTTAAATGGCGCTAGACCAAATGTTTCCGTGTTGTTGCTGACAGTTGCTAACGAGTTCGCCCTCTGGTGTTCAGTTGGAGCTTTGGTGCTTCGGGGGCTTTTCTTTGGGATGCTTACCTTGGACGTTTAGGCTCGTCCTTTGTCTGATTTTGGCCGTTTTGTTTTATGTGTGGTGAGAGTTCTTATTTGTTCCTTTGGGTTGTGTTTGAGTCAACGGAGTTTCTACCCGCATCCTTGTACTTATTTCTTTCTTCTTATTGAAATGATATGCAGCTCTCCTGCGTTTCGAGAGAGAAACAAGCATCAATATTCTATTCTTTGACCCTATCACACTGAGATCTTAAAAACTCGAAATATCCTACATACAGCATTGTCTTCGACCGTAAATGAACTCCTGGCAAGTTTGACGAGCAAAGAAACCATCACTACAACTAAGAACAGTATAGCAGTCATTCAAGCACCACTTCCAACTTCCAACTTGGCTTAGTACTGATTTGTACATTATGCACCCATGATATTCGTGAGCTCATTGCCGCAGAAAAAGCTGACAACGTATATTACCACCCAAAGGTTCACTCACGATTCACCACTAGGCTATCTTGAGTGCATAGGAAATGTTTAGGAGTTTAGCTCACTATTTACCCACTTAAGACCTGACATTAAAGGAGTGTCAATGCTGCTAACTGAGTTGAAAATCACTTACTGACTGATTGGCTGCCCATCGCTCATAGTAATGTGTATATCTCTCGAGGGAATTCTTTGCCATTTCTCTTCTCCTTTCAGAATCATCAAACTATAACAGAAACGTAGAAGGAAGGAATTAGCATAAATAATTTAATGATACAATAACTTGATGTTCATGACTAGGTGAACCATTACCGCTCCTTCTTGCCTTGCTGCCTCATAACGGTTACAAGCATAAAAACCACCTGTTCTCTCCCCGTGATCTGACCATGGACCAAGACAAAGCCTGCATTCACAGCATAATGTGTCAACTATCTAAAATGACAAAAAACTATAAGCAGAAGTGTAGCAGCAATGTGATTGTGTACCAGCAGAATTCAAATTTACATGGCGGTGTGCACGTAATGTGCATGCAGCCCTGGTTTTTTTCAATAGGCCGCTTGCACTTGGGACAAGGCTTCGAATTAGCTAGTATCCTGGAAAACAGAACCAACAGGTGGTGAAGAAAGAAAAAAGGTATAGTTGCTAGTCAAAACAACTCGAAGTAAAAACATACTATATCTGCACAGATGCAGCATTCCATTGACTGAACAACAACACCATTATGTTTTTTTTAAACATAACAACACCATTATGTTAGTAAAGAAATGGGAAAAGAATAGCACAAACTAAGCAAAAAAGTCTAGGGAGTGCTCATCAGACCCTAGAAGGATACATGTTAGAAAGAACACTAGTTGGGGTGAAATGGAACAATTTAGAGAAGCCAAAAATAGAGATATGTGAGAGAAAGAAAAGGCTTCGCAGTCCAATTTGCGGATCATGTACGCCGGGTATCTACAACAAGCATTTTTGTTTAGAAACCTAATTTGGTTCAGTAAGGAAATATGACAAGTAGAATTTCAAAAGAAAAGCAAGGTAGTAACTGGTAAGCAATAGGGAAGTGGAGAGAATGAGCAAATAGTTGGTAGAGTAGACAACTTGCTAGTCCCAACTGTGCATCTTATTCCATTAGCAATTAGATATAACAAAAAAGATGGTTAAAGACCAGATGGGCCGGTATACATGTTACACAAACATACCCATGTCAAAGCTTGCCACACTTGGAAACCAGAGATAGTAATACTTCATTGACATGACCATGCTCATGCTGTTGGACAGACAATGCGAAATTTGGGAGAAGACGTACCAGTTCATATTCTCGGATTCCGCACTATTCTTGAGAATCCATTTGGAAACTGTGGAACAGTCTACAGGGCGATGAGCTTCCTCCGTGCACTGAAAAAAAATCACACGGCTTCTTAATTCTAAGCTAGACCGAACATATCACAAATAAGCTACAGCCAGAAATACTCACGTTCCAACAGAACCCGTAAGAACAGCCACAAGAAACATCATAGCTGCCACTGCCAACGACAAATTCCACAGCATACTCGCAGCCCGGAGCAGGACACCATTTTGTCTGTTCAACATAAATGACACAGTGATAATTTAGTGCAAATCAGAAGGTGATAGTAGACAGCAGTAAAATGCACAAGACATTTAAGCAAATTTTTTTCAGTTATCAGCTACCAACAAGAAATTCTGATATATAAAATCAAATACAAAGAAAAGAATAGGTGCCAGAACAAAGGATTGTGCAATGCCAAATTCTGAATCCTTTGGCCAGATGTGGCCGTCACCATCCTTCCCTAACTGAGCAGCACTTGGTGCTCGGAAAAGAAATTTTGAATTCAGATAAAATTCAGAAAGATATGGACTTACTTTTCTATTATCTTCAATGTAAGATCTGCAAAGATATCGTTCATACTTCCCCTTATCCTCGTCACTAGCGAATAAATTAACCATATCTTGTCCAACAGCAGCAGAACAGGATGGATCAGGACATCTCAACATCAAACATCCTGGACCATCATTTATAGCTGTGCTAATATAGCCTGTCAATGAAACAAAAATTTAATCAGCACCAACTGAACATTAAAGCTAAAATCTTCGAACATTGCATTTAATTACAAGAAAAAGGTTATATTAGAAGATGTAAGATAAACTGAAAGCATTCCATGAAACGATGGAACAAAAACTCAAATTGTTCTGAAATGATAAAATTGAAACACAGGGGCATATAGACTAAATGGTTCACAAAGTATGCAAAAAAACTAAAAAGGAACCAAATTGCAAGAGGAGAATAAGGATGGCATCATGTTGAAACACTGGAAAACTGATATTTGTCTTTGGACATGACATTTGGTTTTGTTATGAGTTATTCTAGATTTCTAGTTAAGTGACCAAAGAAAAATATAGAATGTTAAATTGGAAATCTATGGACTTTTTATCTACTCAATTTCAAAATGGTTCAAACAGGTAATAATATACTATCCAATATAGAACTCCAAATGGCTAGATCCTAGAGCATTCAAATACAGCATTTATGCCCAACAAGTGATATTATTGCATATAAGAAATGAGAACCACAAAAAAAATGTTATCAATTTGGAGGAGCATGGTCAATGTTGTGCAACAATAACACTGCAGGCTTGCAACCTATCAGGAAAAAGCATAATACATTTGTTTGTGTTCACGCTATAGGAAAAAGCATAATAAATTTGTTTGTGTTCACGCATGACTATAAATTTCCACCAATGCTTCTTTCAGAAAAACATATTCAGGAACACACTGATTGAGGAAGATATGCTCACATGCAGCTACGGTAAACATCTATGTGTTCAGTCAGAAGAAAAATCAAGGGTAACTTAATAGATAGTTAGGCACACTTGGTCCATCACCAAGCGTATTCATGGCACAATTATCTAGGCAAGGGCAGTGTAAAGTATGACCATCCAAAGCAAGGGGATAACAAGAGAACGAACCTCTCCAACATACACCACAGAAAGGATGCCCACATGAAGCAGCACCCATTGACTCACGTGGACAACTTTCAAAGCAAATCCCACACGTAAGCTGTTAAAAGATAGATAAGTAATGTAAGAAGTGGAGTTTATATGCACATGACCTACATGTACGGGAATGTTTTCATTAGCATGTCTAGTCTAGAACATAAAAGGGTGCAAGTCCATCCCTTTGCCACAAGCATTCAAAATAACAAGCCTACTGTTCAACATTTTCTCCAGCAAAATACAGGTTACCAGGCAGGTCATACTAACTCCACGGGTTACAAAATATACAGGCAATCCAATAATATAAACGTCAACTAGAAGAAAACTATATTGTCCAAAGGGGGGAATAAGCTTGGGCAACAGAGCAAAAATAAAAAAATAGTGAGCCTTACTTCTCTTTCATTTGGCATTTCGTTTTGCTTCTCCGGTAAACCAACGGCAGTACGAACTCGTGCTTCATCAACAAACCACTCGTCATGCACCTTACTAACGCTCCTGCAAGAAGAAACTTTATAATGCCTTTACAGAAAAGAAATATTGCGAGCAACATAAATTAAATATCACCGCCTACAGAAGCTGTCACAAAAAAGAAGGTAAAAGCAGCGCTGCCATCGAGAAGGAAGGGCCAAAGAAGTACTCCCTCCGTCCCAAAATAAGTGTCTTGATCTTAGTACAAATTTGTACTGGAGCTAGTATGAAGTTGAGACACTTATTTTGGGACGGAGGGAGTATGATCCTAATATAGCAGTATCTCATTCGCCTGCACCTATTTTGTGCTTAAACTTGGACAAAAATAACTATTTAAGCATGCAACTACCATGCCAGAAGTAATGATGCCTATTACCAGTTATAACTGCGAAGAAGGGCGCAAGCTTCTGATTTCGAAATTGAAAGAACAGTTGAAACCCGATTCATGTCATCTGCTTGATGTTGCTTTATGTCAGTTTCACTCAGTACACTGTAGTTTTGCTGGAATATAAACAAGAAAATAGTAGTAAGATAAACATAGATATAAGGTGAAATGAACGCCTAAGAACCACATAAGCTTAGTACGGCCAGTTCATCGCTAGATTAAATGGAGAGAAAGAAAGTTAATCTTGGTCAAAACAGCATGTAGTTAGTAAATAAAAAATCCTTTCGTGGTAAAATCTGACTATTTAACAGGTACATACACCAAAAATCACCAACTCATGGAGTACATAACCAGAAAAAAAATCTAGGCAAAAGAAAAGCGAAATAAGAATTCTGTTGGTTGTATTTTTCACGTCCAGGAAGAATTTGCTACTCCCTCCGTTCACTTTTATAAGTCATTTCAGACAACTGAAATTGACCTGCTTTGCACACTGTCTGAAATATCTTCAACGCCTTATAAAAGTGAACAGAGGGAGTACAACCTTATGATTTCAAGTATATTATTCAGCCTCGAGGAACACATGGAAGCATGTGCAGAGAGAGAAGCTTGGATTGACTTGCGACTGATGACATGCGTTTACATGCTAATAACCTAAACCTCAATACATTGTCGATCAAAATATACCCTGGAGGCCCGGACTTTATGTGTCAAAGGTCTCAAAAAAACAAAAAAAGCAATATTGTTAAAAAAAATTGGGTTTGTTATAACTCTATTTGTGTGGCACAATACCGATATCATTACAATTCTACAATAATATAAGCTTCTACATTCAAAAGCTACCTGGATTGCAGCAACGATTATACCAAATTTAAGCATTGTGTGCACAGTGGCACACTCAGTGAGGTGGGCCATCCAAAAGTGTAGTCAAATTTGGCTACAAATCAAACGGCCTCAAATCTAGCTCCGTGACTTTTCACTTCTTTGCTAACTATATATATTTCCCATCATTGACCATTTGCATATAACCCTCTTCTTGACCGACCATCTGAACTGAACGCAGCTCAAGGTCATCCATAATAGATCAAAGAGGGAAGTGCGAAAATCTGCTGTTAAACTGGAGTTTGTAAGGAAAACAAGAGGAGAAGAGTGGATATCGGAGGGTGGGGGGCGATGGTAGAGGAAAATGGAAACGAGGGTATTAAAAGCTGGACATTTCATTTATCATAGAAATTTTCTAGAGGCTAAATTGGTTCATTTTTTATAAAGGATTTAATGCTCCATGTCCAAATCAATAGATCTTGGACTTGCTATAATTTAACATCATCATGCAAGATGAACACCTATGTAAGTTAACTATGCACTTCCAAACAATATTCCATAACCAGAACAGTAACTTGTCGGGTTACTTGATTGCGTAAGCAAAGAAAATACCAGTCCTTTAGTGCTCTATGTTAAGCAACACTGCAACACTTTACACGATTGGCTATTGCAGATTGGACAGCACTTGATGCACTCACATCACAACGCTTCAGAATGCAAGTACATCAGACGAAAGTGTGAATAATATCTAGAAAACATATCATGACAAAATGATGGTATACCAAATGTCAATTCTGTTTCACGAAGAAAGTACACCAAAAAATATATCACAACATCGTATCAAGGAACATTTTTCTGTTTGCATCTGATTAAAACTGAAAATCGGTATGAATGGGAAGTGTGCACTAACGAATGGAAGATGTGTTCAATCATATCAATTTAAGTTCTACATAAGGGAGGAACAAAAATCTAACCCCGAATCAACACGCTAGAGTTGTGTACCATAAGCTTCAAAAGCTTTTCTTTCCCTAATCGTTTCATCTCTTGATATTTAGACAGAATATCACTACAAATAGTGAATCAGAACGAAATAAATTTAATGACCTGTGCCAAGATCATGCAAGGTACCCTATTTCACAGTTTGAAGCTAGAAGAGTACTTGCATCCCACATAGAAATTTCCATGGACTGTGAGTAAGTAAACACTAAGTAAGACTCATGTATTCACCTAATTAGTATGATCTGCGAATTAATCACCATCTTTTGGCTAGAGCTATCAAATCATACATTAAAAAACTGCCAGCTCCAATGAAACCAGCAAGCTGTAGGAAACCTCCCAAAATCAGATTCAGAAACATACCAATTAGACTGGTATATCCTTGCATCAGGGTAGCATGTCAGTACATGCCTAATACATACTTAGAAGTTTTCCTTTGCATGCTTTCCAACAGTCCTACCCTAAACACCGCTCTCCCTATCATGCTACATTCCATTACCACTTATTACCAGCAACCAAAACTGGAATCATAAAGCAATGTGGCACACTGTGAATTACAAGCTACAACACAAAGTGAATTTCGCATGCCAGGACACCAGTCACAGCTAGCACCTATCCGATAGCCAGAAGTAATTATCGGGAATGCTCGGCTTGTCTTTTCCTACCGTGGGACATAAATAGAACCACCCTCAGGTTTATATAAGCACGTTTCATCCATGGGAAGGACTCTGATCGAGCTCTTCGTCCACGTCAGGCAATCACACAGGCAACCGAAAGCAATATCTAGATCATCCAACCAGTCACATTTCTATCCACTATTTATATATAGTAGTATACGCGAGAGCATTTCTGTCCACATCATCCATCCTATATCGTTAAGGGGCAGACAGAAGCACCGATACATGGCCGCTCCGGCGCTGCTGCATCTCCCATTCCGATTATCTCGAACAAGCAATTTCTATACTGGGACCGACCGGACGCCAATCGATGATCACCTGCTGCCTGTGGGAGATTAGGTCATCCGAGTCATCGGAGTCGCGGTCGGCGAAATCGTAGTCCGCGTCCCCGTCGTCGCTGAGGGCGAGGCCCGCCTCGCCGCCGCTGTAGAAGTCCTCGTCGGCGGAGTCGCGCGTGTCGTCCTCTGAATCCATCGCCGCCACCGGCCGCCGCCGCGCGCGCCGGAGCCTCGAGAGCGACCCGGATCGGGCGGATCGGAGCCGCGCCCCACCGTTTGGAGGGAACAAGCGGCTCGGATTCGGTGGACGGACGGGAGCTGGGAGGAGGAAAGGGGTGGAGCGGAGGAAGACGTGGGGGGAGGAAGAGAGGATGGGTGGGATTCGCTCGGGGGCAGAGGAAGCCTCGAGCTTTCTCCTTCCTTGTTTGTTTCCGCACGTTTTCTTTCTCGCGTGTAATTGCTATTTTCTGCTTCTCTGCTAACAACAGTGCTTTCCAGACGGAACCTTTTCCTTTCATGGGAAGGAATCTTGCGCTGCACCAGAAAGGGAGGTATGAATCTTCACTTCACAAACAGGAGTGCCTCGTCCCTCCGTGTCCGAATACCTCTTTGCCACACCACGCCTCTGGCCAACTCCAACCAGACACCAATCGGACATCCATTTTCTTTGGATTTTGTCCTTTTGAATCGTGTTCGCTCCATATCTAGACTCATTAATCTGGTTCGCATACCTCGATCGCTCTATATCTTTAGATTGCATCATCTTCAACAATTCAGCGTAGTCCGCTTCAACAACCAACGGCAAGCTGGACCAGTGGAGAGCAAGCCGAAGCCCCTCGTCCATAGCTGTCATCTCCGATTCTAGAGGCCCCCCGCAATTGAAGAGTACCCGCTTCGCGGCAAAGATGACTGTGCCTTCATGATCACGTAAAATCATCCCAGCCCCGGTTGTACCATCCTCCTTCAGAAAAGCACCATGAACATTCGGTTTAGCATAGTTCACATCAGGGGGCTTCCATTGAGGCGTGGCTAGTATTTCATGTGTGTTCTTTGACGTGCTTCCCGAGTAATCGATCACCTGCTTGCCCTTTGTCAAGTCCACCTCGGGTGCTGCTATATTGCAAGTAGGGAACTGATATAACTCGATAGGAACCGACGCGAGGCCTTGATCGGGACTGGGGGTTTATGATGCATGATCTCATTTCTTGCATACCAAATCCTCCACGTGATCATCAAGGAAGCAAGCTTCTGTACATCCGGCAGTTTATCAAGCAGACGTAATAACCAATCTGGCTCAGTGTCACGCAGGTCGGCTGGGGTCAGTAGTGCCCAATGCTCTTGCATAGCCTCCCAAAGCGTCGCTGCATGAGGACATATGACAAGAGCATGGTGCACGTTCTCCTTTGCCTGGCCACACAGCAAGCATGTTGAATCTAGTTCAAGGTGTATGTATGTCTTGGTAGCTTGTGTAACTAAGGCCTCTTGGGCAGCTTGCCATGCAAAGATACGTACTTTGGCCGGTGCCCCGTTTTTCCATATCAGGTTCCACACTGAACGTCGTCCGTCCGGCTGGCCGCTCAAGGCGCCGTTATCCTGCTTTGCCATATGTTCCTGCAGACCAAGGTAGTAGGCGCTGCGTACCGAAAAGCAGTTGCGTTTGTCCGGGGCAAGCAAGGAAGTTGGAGTCTAATCTGCTTGAAGCCTTCATCTGAAGGACGCAATCAATGTCTGGCTGATAGAAATGCTGCCGGAGAAGATTTATATTCCATGTACCATCAAGGTTGAGCAGTTGAGAGACCCACTTTAGACGACAATGATGCTTCGGGGTGATCGGTCGTCGAGACTGATCGCGAGGGAGCCAAGGATCTCGCCATATGCGGACCTGCGAGCCATTCCAATACGCCAAATAATACCTTTTTTTAATAGCTCCAGCCCATACTCCACTGCTTGCCTTGTTGAGGATGCATTACCGGTGAAGACGGTGTCGACCAGGAACCCATTGGGGTAGTACTTTGCCTTGAGCACTTGTGCACATAAGCTTGTAGGTTCTCAATTAGCCTCCATGCTTGCTTGGTGATACGTCTCCAACGTATCTATAATTTTTGATTGTTCCATGCTATATTATATTCTGTTTTGGACATTATTGGGCTTTATTATACACTTTTATATTATTTTTGGGACTAACCTATTAATCGGAGGCCCGGCCCAGAATTGCTGTTTTTTTGCCTATTTTAGGGTTTCGCAGAAAAAGAATATCAAACGGAGTCCAAATGGAATGAAACCTCCGGGAACGTGATTTTCGGAACGAACATGATCCAGAGGACTTGGACCCTATGTCAAGACATCAACCAGGAGGCCACGAGGTAGGGGCGCGACTACCCCCTGGGCGCGCCCTCCACCTCGTGGGCCCCCTGTTGCTCCACCGACGTACTCCTTCCTCCTATATATACCTACGTACCCCCAAACTACCAGATACGGAGCCAAAACCCTAATTTCACCGTCGTAACTTTCTGTATCCACGAGATCCCGTCTTGGGGCCTGTTCCGGAGCTCCGCCGGAGGGGGCATCGATCATGGAGGGCTTCTACATCAACACCATAGCCCTTCCGATGAAGTGTGAGTAGTTTACGTCAGACCTACGAGTCCATAGTTATTAGCTAGATGGCTTCTTCTCTCTGTTTGGATCTCAATACAAAGTTCTCCCCCTCTCTTGTGGAGATCTATTCGATGTAATCTTCTTTTGCGGTGTGTTTGTTGAGACCGATGAATTGTGGGTTTATGATCAAGTTTATCTATGAACAATATTTGAATCTTCTCTGAATTCTTTTATGTATGATTGGTTATCTTTGCAAGTCTCTTCGAATTATCAGTTTGGTTTGGCCTACTAGATTGATCTTTCTTGCAATGGGAGAAGTGCTTAGCTTTGGGTTCAAGCTTGCGGTGTCCTTTCCCAGTGACAGTAGGGGCAGCAAGGCACGTATTGTATTGTTGCCATCGAGGATAACAAGATGGGGTTTATTTCATATTGCATGAGTTTACCCCTCTACATCATGTCATCTTGCTTAAAGCGTTACTCTGTTCTCTTGAACTTAATACTCTAGATGCATGCTGGACAGCGGTCGATGTGTGGAGTAATAGTAGTAGATGCAGGCAGGAGTCGGTCTACTTGTCTCGGACGTGATGCCTATATACATGATCATACCTAGATATTCTCATAACTATGCTCAATTCTGTCAATTGCTCAACAGTAATTTGTTTACCCGCCGTGAATACTTATGCTCTCGAGAGAAGCCACTAGTGAAACCTATGGCCCCCGGGTCTATCTTCCATCATATTAATCTTCCGATACTTAGTTATTTCCTTTGCCTTTTATTTTACTTTGCATCTTTATCATAAAAATACCAAAAATATTATCTTATCATATCTATCAAATCTCACTCTCGTAAGTGACCATGTAGGGATTGACAACCCCTTATCGCGTTGGTTGCGAGGATTAATTTGTTTGTGTAGGTACGAGGGACTCGTGCGTGGCCTCCTACTGGATTGATACCTTGGTTCTCAAAAACTGAGGGGAATACTTATGCTACTCTGCTGCATCACCCTTTCCTCTTCAAGGGATAACCAACGCAAGTGCTCAAGAGATAGCAAGAAGGATTTCTGGCGTCGTTGCCGGGGAGGTCTACACAAAAGTCAACATATTGCGAAGGCTTTCGACACTGTCTCATGGCCCTTCCTCCTCTAGGTCCTTCGGCATCTTGGGTTCGGGAGGAGGTGGTGTGAATGGATCTGCATCCTTGTCTCCACTGCCTCCTCGCGCATTCTCATCAACTAGAAACCAGGCCCTTCGGTTGACCATGCGCACGATCTTCGGCAAGGCGACCCGGCCTCCCCGCTCCTCTTCGCGATCGTCATCGACACCCTCAACTCTCTGTTGCAGCATGTTGTGCGCTCCGGCCTGCTCCAGCGGCTCACGCCCCGCCATGCGGCATCCAGCATCTCAATGTTTGCCGATGATGTGGTCATTTTCTGCCATCCTACAACCCAGGAGTTGACAGCCATCCGCGAACTGCTCCATGTGTTTGGAGAAGCTTCGGGCCTCCGCACCAACTTCCTCAAGTGCTCCGCCACTCCCATTCGGTGCGATGACACCATGGCCGAGGCTGTGGGCTCTACCCTGGCTTGCGTGGTCACCGCCTTCCCCATCGTCTACCTTGGGCTCCCTCTCTCACTCCACAAGACACCCACCTTAGCCCTCCTCCCCTTACTGGACAAGCTCACCAAGAAGCTGGCTACCTAGAAAGCCGCACTCCTCTTGCGCGCTGAGCGGCTCGCACTCGTGCAGCATGTCCTCTCGGCTATGCCTGTTCATATCCTTCTCGCCATGGCCATCAACTCGTCGATCCTCAAGAGGGTCCATGGGATCATTCGCGACTTCCTATGGCATGGGCGGAAGGACGCCAGTTCCGGCTGCTGCCTCGTCAACTGGAGGCGCATTTGCCGCCTTCTCGAGTACGGTGGGCTGGGTGTGCATGATCTACACCTCACCGGCATCTCCCTTCGCGCTAGATGGCTTTGGCTTCAGGCCACGGACCCCGACCGCCCCTGGCACCACCTGGAGGTGTCGTGCGACGCGGAGACCAGGCAATTCTTCCGTGCATCGACCTCCTGGACCCTTGGAGATGGAAGAACCTGCCGCTTCTGGTGCGGCCATTGGCTTGATGGGCAAGCCATCTCCAAGTTCGCCCCCGAGCTGCTTGCTCTCGTGCCGCGGCGCAGGCACCGGCGCACGCTGGTCTCCGAAGGCCTTTCCCAACAGGCTTGGATTCGTGACATCCATGGCAGCCTGGGACCTGTCGAGGTGGTCGAATACATCGATCTATGGTGCCGCTTGCATGGAATCCACCTCTCTAGCACCCCAGACACCATCAGCTGGAAAATGGTCAGCGAATGGCATCTACTCTGCCAAATCCTGCTACAAGGCGCTCTTCCTCGACTCCACGTCCCCGCCCGCTTGGCGTCTGATCTGGAAGGGGTGGGCTTCCCTTTCCTACAAGTTCTTCCTTTGGCTCGCGTCCCTCGACCGGTGCTGGACTACGGAGCGTCGTGCGCGTCACGGCCTTGCACACGATCCGGTGTGCATACTATGTTCACAGGAGCTAGAAACTATCGACCATCTCCTTGTGGGGTGCATCTTCTC